TTATACTTGTGTTTATAATTCTTGTTGCCATTGTCATTAGATCATTATTTATATGATCCACTATCTAGTTCATATTGTTTACCCCTTGTGTTAGTTTATATATCCTTGCATATATATATATTTCATCATATAGGATATATCTCATTGTTTACATTGCTTATCCTAGCTCACATATCTTGTGGTATTTCATACTTGCTAGGATAACTTGTTAATTAGTTTTAATTGGCATTTAATCGGATTAGATTAGCATAAGACCCTAATCACCCCCCCTCTAGGGTCTAACAGTCTCTTGGTAGGTCTTACGACATCCGTCAATCTGTCGAACACCGATTGTCGGGGTTCAAGTGCGCAACATTGGCACTCGGAGAGGACTGCTGAAATAATCCTCTCACAATGGCAGGAATGATTCGCCTGTTGTATTGGTTTTCTTCTAGAGAGTAATTCTCGCAAGTCGGGGCTTTGAGATTGACTCTTCATCGGAGATAGGACCCTCTGTTTCTGAGGGGGCGAGACTGGTTCTTGGTGGACGTGAATCTTGAGTCCACTTCGATTCTTTTTAACTTGGCGGACCACATCGTATTCGGGAAGCGAAGTGCGAGGGTCGCGTTGTGATTTATAAACACCAGGCCTTGGCCTGCGTTTAGTCGATGAAACAGACCCCTCGAGGTCTTGTTTTGTTTGGACGCACTCATGAGGCGTCTGTTTTCCCTTAGCAGGGCTGTGTTTTGATTGGACAACGCACCACTGAGGGTCGCGTTTAAGTTGAATCACCCGAGGTTCATAGTTGGATTCATTACCTCGAAGTGTGTGTTCTGGAGTATGAACGCAATGCTTAGGCAGAGCTTTGGAAATGCAATTCTTGCGTTGGACCAAGGATTGATTTTCTCGAAGATGTGCTCGTCGGATGGATCTTCTCCGTCTTCGAGCGGCGTTTTTCTTGGCTTGTTTCAAAGCCTTAGCAGCAGCGTTGTCGGCGTTGATTAGGCCTTTCTCTGTCATAGGCCTCTTATAACCCAGCACACGCTGTGTCGAAACGGGTGCGGGATCTTCAACTTGCAGAGCAAGTTTGAGGCTTTGGCCAAAGGAGGGGGCTTTCTTTGGCGTCTCAGCAGTAATTACGACCTCCTTAGAGATCTTGTGGGTATCACGCCTGGCTTTAGGGCTAGGTGATCCAGAGCAGAGGACCTCCTCATACTTGGCTTGGTCAAACTCCACGACAAGAGTTTCGACCGTGGTTCCAGTGAGGTGAACGTCGGATTACGCCACCACTTTCTCGTCCGAAAAGCTAATCCCCAGCAGAGTCGCCATCTTTTGTTTGTGGAAAATTTGTAATAAGAAAATGAATGAAAGAACTGTATTTGATTTTATTCTCTCTAACTGCTTAGAAAAAGAATGATTACAACTCTCTCAACTCTCGATTACAATTGGATTTCCGATTACAAAAGAGAAGAGAATGATCTGGATTCTCTCCTTTGTTTAATTCTGGGTTCTTCACGGTAGCGATGAGATGCCTCCCTCGAATGCTTGCGTCGAGTTTGCTTCTCGTTGACGATCCGAATATCTATGCTCACTGGAACAACAGTCTTGTCTGGCTGATAACTCTTGACGAGTTTTGTGATTCAGAACAAGCAACAAACTCTCGTAATAGAGTTATTCAAACCGAAAATAATTCGGTTAATAAACCAAATATCGACGGTTTAGAGCTCCTCCGTTTGTTGATTTCTCAGACTGTGTAAGGAGTCAATCCTCTTTTTCTGATTCTAGGAAATCTGATCGAAATATCCTTTCCAAGTAATCAAAATCCAATCTCCAAAAATCCGTCCCTCGATCTGATTATCAAAAATCCGATTCTTAACTCTGTTGAGTTTGTTGATATTTATAGGGGGATTATGGGTGTAACTGCCCCCATAATCCGCGCCTAAATGGGGGTTTAGTTACCCCATTAATCGGGTGTAACAATCCACGTAAACCACTCCCTATATCGTGGGTAGAGAACAGCTTCAAAGTTGTTACGATCACGTTTGAATGAGTCAGAACCTTGACTTGCGTTCTGGCGGTGATTGGAAAGAGCTGCTGTGACGAGCTGCGTCGTGCAGCGATAGAGCTGCGTTGGCAGCGATTGATGAGCTGCGTCGTGCAGCGATAGAGCTGCGTTGGCAGCGATTGATGAGCTGCGTTTGGCAGCGGTTGGTGAGCTGCGTTGACAGCGATGGAGCTGCGTTCGGTGGCGGTTAGAGCTGCGTTCGAGCTTCTCTGTCTTTATATATGGATGATACTAATGACCAGTAAAGAAGGTCTTATTCAGGCCATTTGTGACAATTGAGGCATCTCAACAACGCTCTATCAACTGCAAGTCACGATCTCCATTAAGATTTCTTTGCATGGTTTAACCATGTGCTCCTCAGTGTGTCGAATATCATTACACTGCTTATCAGCATCTCTAATAGTTGCTAATATAATATTAGTCATGTTGTTGTCACAGCCATCAAGATCAATCATCTCACATAAGAAGGTGCATTCGTGTTTGCAGCGGTTGAAACTGTGTAGGTGATTGTATTGGTGTTGTGTCTTGACGATGGTACGTAGGGAGGACTTCCACGTCTTGGTTTGAAGAGATCGTCGATTCGTAATCTCTTTCTGTCAGAGTGTTGCTAAAGATAGCCTTCTGAAATCTGACTAACTTCCATCATCGGTGGGGAATCAGCTATCTATTATTATTTTTAGACAGCCTACAATAGACTTATCGATTATTAGACTATTAATTATGCTTCTGACTTGAGTAATTCTCCTATTTTTTCTCTATCCTTTAAAAACCCTCACAAAATCGCATGTACAATAATCCAATAATATTTATTTACGGTTTAAGTGTCTAAATTTAAGGAGATTTTGATTTCAAGGATCTGTTAAATTTTGATAGTTTTGATTCTGAAGGATCCAATTTCTTTTATACATTTCATCCCTTTTATCTTTTCTTTCTCTCACATTTCTAACAATTTTCATTTTCAGGAAATTATATGGGTGTAGTTCTAGCTATGATTTGAATCGGAGTTATTAAAATATATATGAATATCATTTTAGAAGAAAGGGTATGTGAATATCATTCTTTTAATTTATTTCTTAGTTTATGTTTTTTTGGTGATATATGTTGATTTTAATTGGAGTTATTGATCTGGCATTTTGGTTTGATGATTACAGAAAAGATGGAAGTGTTATGGAATAATGTCTCATGGTGAAAATTTTGAGAGGAGATACAAAGAAGGGCTCCAGATTACCTCAACACAACAGACTCAAGATGAAAATTTGAAACATTTTATTGATAAAATTTTGGTATCTTTGACTTCCATAATTATGAATTCCTTTATTTGGATAATATTGCATATCCATATGTAGAATTTGATGTCATTTTGTATTATTAGGCCCTTATGTGTGAGGGCAGTGTGATAATCAAAGTATTGATAAGCTAATTATTTTTTCCATAATTTTTTTTGCCTAAAAGTTACATTGTAATTGTTAGGTTGGGTTGGATATTGTTATTCATTTCTACATTTAACTCAAAGAATACACACACACATGTATATACATACATATACACATGTATATATGTATATATATCTCATCTTTTGCATTTTTTTACACAATTTTAAAATTTTTTTATGTTGGATCTAGTTCGTTTGACATTTATAGATCTAATGTGCAGTAGTGAAGTTTGAAGCAAGCAATGGATTGTAGATGGGTTAAATGTATGCTGGATCTATGTTGATTATGTGGTATATATTGACTAAATCTGCGTTGATTAGATCGTAAAGATTAATAGTTTTTTTATCAAGTTTTTGGTGTTTTATCTATTTAGTCTTAAGGACGGTCTCTTTGGGTGAATTTAGACATATATAGCTTTTACTTCAATTCATATTGTCCAGGCTACAAAGGTAGAACCATTCGAGATTATGATATAAGGGCTCACATATGAAAAGGAAATATCAATGAGACCTCATCCCGAACAAGGTAAGCGAAGCCTCAATCGTTTAGTTATTAGTTATTTGCTCTTATTTAGATATCCCAATACTTTCAAATGAATCTTCGCAAGTATAAATTCTAATTGCCAAATTGTTAACTTGAGCTAATTACTGCAGGGGGCAATTATGAAGCTTTTCTTTTATTCATATTTTAAACTTATTTACGCTAATGTCACGGCAACACTTGGGTCAATTTTGCTTTAGATCTAAGGCTCTGTTTGGCAAAACTAGCTGAAAGGTGCGAGATTATAGCTGAAAGCTGTTAAGCTAGCTGAAAGCTGTGAAATTGTAGCTGAAAGCTGTTAACTGTGTAGCTAGCTGATTGACTAGAGCTGTTTGGTAAAAGTAGTTGTACAACTAGCTTAAATTTGTTAAATGACTATAAAGAACATGCAATATTATTGATATAAAATTAGAATTATTAGGGGTAAAAACGGAAGAAAAAAATTGACAGCTCCTTCCCAAAGACAAACGCTACTTGAGGTAGCTTTCCAAAAGCTACTTGCAAAAGACACAATCTCCAAAATAATCTCCTCCTACTTTTGGTCACCAAACAGCTCTACTAGCTTATTGATCAAGTCAATAAGACACAAGCTCTTAGATAAGACACTTTTTTTGGTTGCCAAACAGTACCTAAGACTCTTGAGGTTCAACACTGAAGTGATGGCCTATAAAGGTTTTGTTTTGGGTTGGGCTGAATAGCAATCGAGCTTGAAACATAGCGTGAGGGTTTCGAACCATGTAAGATATTTTCAAAAACTTATTTTTAAAATTTAATTTATTTGCAATAGATATTAAAGAGGATTTGCATGAGAATTAAATTGCAATTAAATATTTATTTGGTTGCACGTAAACTTGTTGAAAATATCTAACTGAAATCACATATCTAGTCGAAATCAGCCCAATTAATGGGAATCATACTTCTCAAATGTCACCATCTGGTGCAGGTTAGGCAAGCTTGAACACCAGTCAAAGGTCCACAGTTTCTATAACTATGATAATGCATTAATGAAACTTATCACTGGAGAATGGCAAGCAAATAATTTGAAACTAACTTCCTGCTTGTTTTTTTTTTTTTTTTGACAGACTCTATAAGTGATAGAATAACCGAGCGAGTTTAAAAATCTTGCTGTAGGTACAAAAGTTTCCATTGGCTGCAACGAGAAATAAGCCAATTCCGGAAAAAGCGAAAAAAAAAAACAGCTCCAGAATTAATTGCGAAGAATTGGAACTATGTGATTTCCCGGATGCAACCAACAAGAGAAAGAAATCCAGCAACTCAGATGCAGATCATCAGCCAAAATGATCAAATGTGCTTCTAATGCATCGGTTGTCGCCTCCTGCAGGGTCATCAAGATAGACCGTTAGAGACAAGGTCAATAGAGTTTGTCTTCTCTTGTTCTTTTCAATTTTTCTTTTTATTAAAAGGTGCTTGTTTTAAGCCAATTGCAAGCTAAAACTTTAAGAATCGTTTTGAGGCATTTGGCCATTGTCATTTGACTACTGCATAATAAGCAAATGATCAACATGCAGAAACCTCATTTTGCCTTAACCCGATTAGTGCTTGATGTTAGAAGAAATTATAGAGTAGGGCTTTACTCACTTCTTGTATGCAAGGGAAATTCAATTTCGAGAAGACAAGAAAACATCAATATGCACGCATTCGCACATGCACGCGCGCACACGCAGGCTTCTCTGATCCAGTCAAGAAACCCTTTTACCACCTACTTGACTAATGACAAATTTAAGAAAATGTTTGATATGTAAAATAACAAAAATGGGTTCTTGTTCTTACATATAATTCAATGTTTTAAAAAGCCGCTGCCTAGCCCGCCTAGACGTACGCCTAGGCCTACGCAGTACCTACGTTGCCCACCTAGGTTTTGGGAAAACCTAGGGAAGCATAAGTTGCTAATGTAGACTGCACCCTTTAGGCCTAATCATGATGTCCTCTATTACAGCCTCCATGCCTTCCAACCTCCAAACACTTCCAACCTCCAATTATTAACAAAAATGGGTTCTTGTTCTTACATATAATTCAATGTTTTAAAAAGCCGCTGCCTAGCCCGCCTAGACGTACGCCTAGGCCTACGCAGTACCTACGTTGCCCACCTAGGTTTTGGGAAAACCTAGGGAAGCATAAGTTGCTAATGTAGACTGCACCCTTTAGGCCTAATCATGATGTCCTCTATTACAGCCTCCATGCCCTCCAACCTCCAAACACTTCCAACCTCCAATTATTAACACCTCTACATCCTACGACTTTCAATACAATCTCCTCCACCATTTATACAAAGAAAGAAATCCATCTTGGCGCTAGTCTGACGCCTAAACTTTCTATAACATTGACATATACTATAAATTTGTTGTGGTTTAAAATTTAAAAAAAAAGAAACCACCTAGGCCACCTTCTAGGCTCCCCACCTAGACACCTGGCTCTAGGCGTTGGGTGCAACGCCTATGCCGTCTAGCGCTTTTTGTAACATATAGGCCGCTCAAACTTAGCAAACTTTGCCCAAATCTTTCATACTAGTCTATCTCCCAACCCACCCCCCACCCCAAAAAAAACACCTAGAACCCATTAATCTACACCTCAATCCAGTTTCTACTCGCTCCTACAGAGAAATTTCTACTCACTCCTACATCGCTCTCTCCCAGTGTCCCTTCCTCTCCCTAGACCTAGCCTAGCTGCAACTCTATTTCCTTCGCCCCAAAGCCCAAGCTCACAATCCATCATTGTTGCCAAAACCCTTCTCAGCGCCTCCTCCTTATTCAGATCTCAACAACTTCATCTCTTACCCAACTTCTCCTTAAGAAACCTGCTCTTTGCCACCAACTCTACAGAGTTGCATGTCTCCCCAGTCCCAATTGAGTTTCTCGCAGAGAGGATCCACTGGATCTAATCCTAGAACCAGATCCTCTTGTAGAGATTGGGTGGGTGGGGGTCTAGGACTTGGGTGATAAATTGGAATAGGGTATTGTTGTTAGGATATGGATGTGAAGCGGGTGTGGTAGAATTGGGTGGAGATAAGAAGGGATGATGGGAAGAGAGAAAGCCTTACTTAATCACAACACACACACACACACAGGGAGGGGGGTTGATTAGTCGAATGCATGTTCACTGGTTTAATTAATGGAAAAATATCATCAAGATTGTTTATGCTTGGAACGCATCAGGGGGACTACGGCAGTCCCTAACCTTCATCATCAATCTAGGTTTGAAAACTTCCGTTAAATTTTGCTGACGTCAGTGACATAGAGGGTGTTCAGTCATCGAAGAAATTGCAGAAAGCACAAGCTTGTTCTATCGCGCCACTGACACATCTGAAAGATCACAGAAGTTCGTAAAAACGACCTATGATGACAGAAGTAACGTTAGAGACCCCAACTGATGATTTACAAACCTATGATATTGAGTAATACATGAGGACCTCCAATAAAGTTTTACCTGAATTACTTCTATTGAAGGGAGGTAGTCATATTTAAAAATACTAATCTAACCTAACTATGGAGGAATATACCCATTATATTCTCTCTAATAGAGAAATTCTGTTATAACTTGAAGGTTTGACTGTAAGTTGAGAGGCCAATTGCCAAGTATGAATTTGAAGGATAAATTTGAAAATACAGTAGATTTGTGGGGACATATAGGTACAAAAAACCTACAAAATTGATCTTGGCTGTGTCATTTAAGGGGAAAATCAAGAAATAGATAGCATGTGACTAAATCGAGTTGTTCCATGTATACAAAGTGGGTTAAACCACTCAAAGTTCCAATATCTGCACCAATAAGGCAATAATGGCCAGCCAGAACCATGACTAAATACTAAATTCCATACCTTGGTAAATCTTTTAAATGACCTATCCAAAAGAACTAAATGTAAAAGGGGATTTGGCACTTTTGGGATTTCTGGTACTTAAGAAAGATCAAAATTTTAATAGATTTTTCGATTTAATAAATGATAAGAGTGAGAGAAAGTTTAGATATGAATTGAACAATCATAAAAGTAAAGAGAAGATACAAAAAGTTCAGCAAGCAGTTATTGCATGGGATATTGTATGAGAGAAATTAGGCTAGGAAAGAGATCATGTGGATGGCAGTATTGCAACTGAGAAAAACCAGAAATCTTGCTTCCCCAAGCCGCAACTTTCAAATGATCATTTTCTAAATCAATTGCCAGATAATCAACTTTTGGGGAAAATACTTGCTTTAAAACAGCAAAAGCACACCGCATTTCTCGAAAATTTCCAGAGTCTTTATCATTTAACTCAGCTCATTATTTCGACATTTAGCTGATGTGTCTACGAGTATGACATGCAGATATTGATCCTTTTCATTTTTCTGAAATTTATGAACACATCAATTTAGAATTAAACAAATTAACTAAGCTTATATTCTAATATAAGAAAAGGAGGCAGATATAATTCTAAATGATAGGCTGAAAGAGACAAACAGGTAAGAACCCCTCAGGGAAGTCACTCAAACATATGGAAAAATAATGCTTTGCCTGCCTGCCTGTCTCTGTGTGAGTGCGCGCACTACAGTTTTCTTGCAGGTTAGAGCATATGCAAATAATGAAGGGCATATTTTCATGCATCAATAATGGTTTCTAAACCACACAAATAGCACTTGCATCAATTTGCACTTACGAAATTAGTAATTTACCTTTTAGGTCGTGCACGGTCCTCCTCGTAGTCCATAATCATTCCTCCAGGTTCAGAAGAGAAGATGTCCTCATGGCCTCGTATGTCCATGTCAATCTGCTAGTGTGTAACTTCTGCCACCAAGTAAGTAAGACACATCGACCGATATTGAACATAACTGATATGTAGTTTTATAATTCTATACACTATACCATTTATGAGAACAATAAACAATTAAAATTAAAAAAAGAAAAAAAACTGAATGTAAAAGAGGGAAGGAGACAATTCAATCTGATAAATAAAGTACACATTAATAATACAAACTCTTATGTTAACTACAGGCAGATGACCAATAGAATAATCAATAACTCGTCATCAATATACAAATAATCAGGCTTACCTTGAAGGACTGTTTCGCATCTTCAACCTTCTCCTCAATTTCCTTGCGGTGTTTCTTGTTTTCCTCGCTCATCGCATCAGCCCATTTGATTTTGTCTTGAATGGTGTGAAGTAAATTGTCCGAAGTCCCCAACCTGCATAGAGTTCATTCCATGGGGGAAAAAAAAGAAGCTTAATAACCAGTAAACTAAGTCTGGTAGTAATCCAAGAATAACGAAATAGAGCAATTATCTTCTCCTATGTTGCACAGACAGACATGCCAACACAGACACAGTACTCCGACATGCAGAAAAAGCAGGCACATGATTAATGTCCGAAACAGACACATTTAACGTGTTTGTGATATATGGCTTTTTTCCACAAATAGTTCACAGAAACATAAACTTTGAGAGGTCTTTACTCTTTACTCAACATACATAACATTTCTGTTGCTTAAGAGGCCTCTACTTAACCAGCATAAAAGGTTGTGACGTGTTTAACAAATCTCTATTCAACAAACATCACTCCCTCCGCCTCAAGAGGAAACTGCTGAAAATCAGTCCAGATCAAGAGGGAGTATCCTAAGGCATAGAAGAATTGCCAAAATTCTAATCAGATAAAGGCTATAGGGATTTGTTACTGTATTTATAGTTGCATGGAGAAGGTGCCCATGCGTTGAAAGCTCCAATTCCGTGATTGTCAAGCCAGTATTACTTGGCTGTTTTTTTAGTATATATATGTACATATAACATACGTATGCATAGATGCTATGTGTCTTTACTAAATCTTATATATGTTAATTTAAGACGTAATAAATTATTCAAAAGGAACTTAGAAATTTATATACCGTGTAAGAAACAAATTTCATGCATAAAGAATATTGCAACATTTAATCTGAAAATATAAAAAATTTCCAGTGTAATTTTTAAATAAATATAATTCTTATTATTATTAACCTGAATCATGTTATTTATTCAGTAATTTGGGTCGACACAAATTATGCATCATTGATGGATCGCCAAAGATATGCAGCACGGGCTTGGGTAATCAGAAAATTTGAGCATTACAGTCTAGTACTGCTGATTGCATAGTAGAACTTGGCCAAAGAAAACTAAGTCTTTGACAAAATCTGAAGCCTCCCAAATTTAACTTGTCTGCTTCTTGGGAGCTCGCTACCCTTTCTACTCAATCATAAAAACTGTGAGTCGCGTGTTCACTACTTTACTTTTTTTTCTCTCATCTGGACCTATTAGCCATACATAACCTAACTGCTGTTCAGATGCTACATCTAGATCAAGTTCAATATAGTTGAAGGGTACAGAATTTCATGTCTGAAAATAATGGGCACAAACACCAATTCTCTAATAACGCAAATAACTTCTTAACCTAAAGCCTTTAATAACATGACTACAGCCTAACCAACTCTTAAAAAATAAAACAATGATGATAAAAGAAAAGCACTACTGACATAGAACTGGATTCCATTTTTCTGTGATCTTCCATTTAACAGTGCCCAGAAACCTGTTCTTATGATAGCTTCCTAAAAGAGCCACGCCAAGGCACTTGACTATTGTTTGTTCATGGTCTTTTTTCCAAGTATGCCCATAAATGAATATTGCATGAAGCTTGAAACTTGCACTGTCAAAGAAAATGACAGAAATTCTCTGGGTCTCTATTACTGAATGAATGAAAAGACACCGCTAGTATCCTAAAAAATATCTTGTATCATCTTCCTTGAAAGTTTATTTCTAAAACTATCCATTATTTCTCTTCCCAAGCACTCCTACAAAATGACTTCCTTATCCAACCAATAAGTACCCCTTGTAGGCTAATATCACTTACCTACTCCCTGCACTATGCAAGTAAACCCTGAGTGATACTAACTGCACAAAAAAATTAATCAATTAAAGAACTCGATTCAAAATTTGACTCGACTCGAGCAATAGAATAAAATTTAACTGTTTAAGCAGAAACAAGATGATTGAGCATCAATATTATGAAAGAAATCTCAGAATATAAAACTTGCACTAAAGGCGATAATAATGATTAATTGACAAGAAGGACAGACTCAATAAAACTTATATTGTCCGGCATTGTATGCACTGTAGCCTAATGGTCAAAATAAATGCTAGTTGAATCATACTACACAATCAGATTTAGAACTAAAGAATGCAGATAGAACTTCGGTAAATGACATGCAGTTCACCCAAAAAAACTGTTGATATTGGATAATATGAATATCATATGAAATTCACGAGAAATTTTGGCAATACATAACAGCCTAATAAACAAGGAACATATCAGATGTTGAAAATTCAATTTGTAGCATTCATGTAGAAACATGATCACTTTACTACATCAAATTAATGCATCAAACTCCACTTTAACTCAGGAAATCTCATCAGCATACAACCAGTAGCTGATACTCTAAATAGACTAGTGACAACTCACGCCTTTAACAATGGGGGGAAAATTCAATAGAGGACCCTCTATAGAATATCATATAGGAAGGAAAAAGTGAAACCTGGCTCATTCATGAAAACAAAAGAGAATGAAAGAACGAAAAAAAAATCATACATCAGGATTCTTAAAAAAGAACAATTACCAATTTTCTAGAGTCTGTATCATATTGTTAAGTTGTTCAGGCCTCAGATCCCTTCCAGCAGCAAATTGCACCTGCATCAGCAAAATGATTTTCAAGCAACAAAACAGAATTTTTATTTGATATGAGAAAGAAGTGCAAGAAACAAAGATATAGCATAGCCAGCAGAAGTGTAATTAGACCTCAAAGCACCGCCGCAACTGGTCCAACTTGCCTCTAACAATACCCTAAAATAACAGCACGTTAAAACAGTTTAGTTCCTTCGCATTATGGTTACTAAGAGATCAAAATATGTAAAAGACAGGAGTTAAGTTTCAAAGTCAAAACACGTTCAGCACAAAAGAAAGTCAAAACAGTGTAGCCAGTTTTCCACTGTCGTTATGTCAATTGACAGTAGGCCACAGCCTTCACAGCAAACATACTAACTAAACATAAGAAAATCGGAGTTCTACATAAGGTGACATGTAGAAATAATTTTCTTACCAGAATGCTATTGCAAAAAAATGCAAGAAAAATCTAATCAAAATGTTTCTCCTGACTAGTGAAACATGGTCCTCCTTAATCATAAAATACAACATCTAACCATGAGAAAGGCCCAAAATATAGACATACATACCGCATACATGCAATCATTGATAAGGAAGTCCTCAAGCTCTCTTACATTTGAAACATCTAGTTCCTGCATCAGTTGATCATAAGGCAGTACCTGAAAACAAAAAAGAAGTGTTCATCAGCCTACACGCAACCCACCAAACAGAATGCTCGTCTGCTAAAATGATCAGTTTTGCCAGATATGACACATTTTGTTGATTCTCCAAATTAATCTTAAAATTGATCATTCGCAAGAAGGGGAGGGAGGCAGGGATGATACTTTCATAACGAGAAGCTCATATTCATACTGTTTTATGGAAATGGAGATCTGAGATGACACAGGAACTCAACAAAAAACAATCTCTTCACATGTTTAGTTAAAGCCAAAAGCAGGTGAAAGAAGTGAAGCAGTTGGCTTGGTTAAGCACTTAGACGGGCACATAAATAATTACTTTGCTCAAACAGGTGACCGAGCTTCTCAATAGGGATTGTGTCTATGTTTTTGATATAACACCAACAACCTTTTAAGAAACCTCATTTCATAGTCGTTCCCAACATCTTCAGCTATTTTTTTAAACTTAATGAGCTATAAGATTTTACAGTAAGGTTTTGGCCGCTAAGATAAGATGAACATGACTTCCATCAAAAAGGATAAACTCCCAAGTGTTACATTATTATCATGTAGTGTACACAATACAAGGTATCCACTTTCATGCTTCTTAGGCAACTTTTCTTATTATCAAAAGCTTCAACATAACTTCGTTAGAAATTCTCCTCTGCTGTACGCATTTTTATAATTCTTCTCAGTTTTTCTAATATTTCATGTGTCGTCATTCAGATCATATGTGTCTTGTGTGTGAGATAGTAGAAATATGAATCTTCAAACTTTTGGCTAATGAAATTCTCCAGTTGTCACTTTGCATAAGAGGAATTTGTGAAATGAATAAAAGAAAGAAAAATATCCAAACTTGATGCAGAAAAATTGTTGCATATAAAGAATACCTTGTTCCCCTCAGCCAGCATCAGCACAGTAAGTTGCTTTAACTTGCGGACTTGATCAGCTGAGAGCGCTGGAAGCCGATCACTATTACCTGTACCATGTGTATCTTTCCATGTTAATGTTCAGACTTTAGACTGCAACAATCATAAAAACCTGACACGCCACTTAATGGACTTCTCACCCTAATTAGTTATCCACTAATCCTCATTCAATAATTCATTCAATCAAGCAAAATGAAAGATATCTTAACAAGTGGAAGACCAAGTAAAGGTTATGTATACAAGACAAAAGTCACTGATCCTAAATCCTAAAACATATCTAGGGAACTCTCTGATTTGCTCGGAATATATAGACTAATTGCAACTATAATATAGATTTCTTCATCAAACATTAAAAGATAACACAGAATATGGCGACAACCAACTAAAAACTAATCAGAAAGGAAAACAGGCCATTTCATACTACAGGTGATGTGATGCAAAATCCACTGTTAAAACAGATGTTTATTGTCAGAGTCAGAAAGACTCGGGAAAAATATAAACTTTGAATGTCATTGCAGTTTTTAAATATATTTGATCCTTTCATTTCTAACTACATATCTATTTTTCCTAAATTATGTCTGCTTGCGCATAGTCCTGAAGTCCTTCAGCTTACATTAACCTTTTCTTTATTTTATATCTTCTAGGCCTTCTAACTGTTCCTTTATTTCATATTTTCTAGGCCTTCCATATAACGACAGCATAACAAATTCAAATCTAAACAGATAATCATGGCACTTCAGAAAAATCACCATAAATACAAAGTTACTAACTGAATAAGCATAATGATCCAGAAAATTGATTGCACGGGTCTAGAAACTGGTTTTGATAAAGGCTAACTCGGTTGATTCAATAATTTCCATGAAATAACGAAGCAAAGTCTAACATCCTCCAACTATGAAAAAAGATCCCAGCAACTATAAAAATAATAAAGAATCACATAAAAGATGACGCCAACCGAAGTTTCCTGAACATGAATAAGATGCTCTTATTCCATGATGGAGGAGGAAATTAAACTTGGAGAACCTAACTTGGAAGTTGGAACCAACTGAATATTCCGAAAGGCTCAGGAACCAATCGAATCAACCCGAAAAATTAAAAATATCTATCAGACTACCCAATGGTTGGTTAAGCTAAATTGTATTTGTATTAGTCAGTTCGTACTTCTAGTCTCTGTTATTATCCAAGCCTTTTCTATCAAAATGTCATTAACAATGAAGCAAGCCCATAGCAAATACCTGATAAATTTTACAAGTTATTCGATTGACATCAACTTCTATAAAGTAAAATGTCAAACTCTGCTCAAAGAAGCTTTATGACCAACTAGTATAGTGCACATGCGTTGCACGAGAGCATACCTATTTTGTTTTATGTTTTTCAATTTTTTTTTGTTGGCTGCAAAATACTGAAATGACTTGTATAGCAATATAAATTCTGAACAATTTTTTTTTAAATGAATAAATTGTACGATAAAATTGTGTATAAAGAATTGTATGATTAATTATTATAGTTTAGATAATTGCTATAATTTATTCATACTTTATTAAAATAATTATAATGTATTAAATAATTTATTCTCTTTTAAATATAATAATATTATACATAGCATAATTATAATACTATTAGTAACTACATTTTAATTTCATAATTAGTTTATTACATTATTAGTAAATAATTTACTAAATTGTATAATTATTAAACTACAATGTAATTTATTAATTTAAAAAAATACTATTAAAATTATTATACTATTAATACTATAACAATTACAATAAATACAAATTGTTTTTCATACTATTATTATACTTTTAAAAAGGCGAATAAGATGAAAGGTAACTAGTAGTCCTCCATAAAACGTGAAACTCAAAGACATAAGGCACAAGCCTAATAAATTATTTTTTTAATTTTTCTAGACTTTTAAATATTATGTGAAGATAAATTAGGGATAAATTTCAAATATTATATTGAATAACATAATTAAATAATAAAATAATAGTGTAACCAAAGGTTTTGAAAAGGTGAGGAAATGCATAATGAATAAGAGGTGATATATAATTAGTGAATGATTATATACAACTAATGACATATTTGAGAATTATCACACTTAAAAGGATAAAAAATGAAAATCAAAAGTTTCGACATGGTAATCCTCTTTTACATGTAGTATAGATTATTAGCCCAAATTTCCACCCTCCACTTAGCTTTAGTTACTATTACTCGTCTTCAACCTATGTTTTCTTAATGACCGAAAAGAAGATTGAGTAGAAAAAAAACTAAAAATAAAAGAATCTAGAAATGAGACTATAACTTTCATAAATTCCTACAGATAAAAGTATAATTCTAATTCATTTCAATTTCTATGTTTTATTTAAACCAGCTTGTAAACACTTGCTAGCCAATCTGAAGCAATATGGGACCACAAAAGTTAAGGAGAATAAAATTAGTTACAACAAAAAACATCATTCAGTATCTTATATCCTACAATCTCTCCTCTCCAAATTCAATATCTTCCACAATCAACTGTAAGTCACATAATGCCATCATTACAGTTAAATAACATCAATGTGCACCTAAATCTTAAAGTGATGTCTAAAACCACCACTGTGTAAGCAAGAAAATGTTTTACAAAGAAAATAGAGGTGTTATGGAGCAGCTTAGCCCAGAGAATATCAAGGCCAATAAAATTTTGGATATGAAAAAAAAAGCTTTTTGTCTTGATTTTCAGTTTTTACTCTCTTGGTCATAGTGTTGAATTCAGGGAGTAAACACAGACATCTTCAAGTCCTATTTATGTTGGCAGTAAATTTCGGCAAACAACTTATTATGGAAACATCTTATAGGGGAAGGAAATTGCTGGAGGCTCGCCAACTTAAGATACTAAGTGAAGGCATCATTCAGTATCTTATATCCCCCTGCCTCCGACTTTGAAGTTCATGGACAACAGTAGCACCACCAAGTACTTAAGACAAACAAATGCAAGATTAAGTGACCTTTTTTCTGATCTTGACAAGTTTGATGGACTTCAATGATGCCTGGCTCTTCCATGGAGTCAAAGTCCCATTCTTGTCACTAACTAGGTATCAGCACACAAAACGTTGGCAGCAAAGTAGAAAAACCTTACAGGACATGAAGTAACGTGTTCTGTGCCGTTTGGACATATCGGCGATACGTAATGTTCAGAAACAGCATAAGCATTATTTTAGAAATAACATACTCAGAAAATGACATTGTAGTTTTTTTTTTTTAAAATCCCGTGTCAAGTTGAATTTAAAAAACTCACACCACACCCCGAAAAAATGTTGTCAAAAATGAAAAATTATTAGCATAAAAAAATCTGAAAATAAAAAATTAGAAATTCTGGTCTGATCGGGAGCAGTCGTGTAAACACACTGTCCTAGAAGATTGAAGACCCGCTTATCGCCCTGACGCAGATGGTCTTCTCTCCCCTAGCGATAAAAACCTCCAGAATTCGGCCGGCCTCTGTACTCGAGCAAGAGTGGCAGAGCTTCTACTCAGATGAAGAACGTTGCCCATAAGAAAATTAACAGTAGCCAACAATTTTGAGAGAGGAGGGAGAAGCTCTCGTTTGAGAAGAGAGAAAAGATTGTTTTCTGTATTCTTCTGAACTGAGAAACCTCTATTTATAGGAGTCGGAAGCAGTAGCCGTTGCTGGATCGACGCGAACGTTCTTCACATCTTGTGCACCCGTTACCCAGATATCGCGCATGTTCTCAGAGCCGTTACACGTTCTCATGACCGAGTCAAAACTGAAAAATTAAAGTTTTGACAACCAAAAATTGTGCGTGTGCGGTGTGGCATGGCGCGCGCGCGTCGCGGCGTGGCGAGGCGTGTGCGCGCGCGTGTGAGTTATGCAAAGCCCAAACAATACAAAACCCAAAACACTACTCAAGGCCCAATAAGAGGTGAAGCAATATAAACCCCTTATTATTCATCTCATTTTTCAATGTGGGACTATTCACAAGGTAAAATTACCTTTTCATGAACAAAATAGCCAACAGTCCCCCCCCCCAAAAGGCAATATTGACTGAAAATTCAAAATCAATAAATCACAAAATAAATATAGGTTGAGCAACCTTTCGTATCGTGAATTCGGGAAAGATAGCTTTCGGCTTTGAACATTTCCTTAGTGAGTTCATCGCCACCTGAGGGACATAATGGACTAGGCCTTGAATTAGGCCCCTTTAACCAGGTATTGACGAAAACACATATAATATGTCTTTATCTATTGAGCAAAGCAGGTTGAGTGATAAAGGTCATACTCACAATAAACAGACTCATGAGTTTTTAGGGTTTAGCTCACCCCCCAACCGCGACCACCACGGTTCCTCTCACGTAGGTAAGTCCTCCAAGGGTACTACAGCTGGATATCATACCCTCCGCAATACACGCGTTGAACTTATTAAGAGTAAAACTCAGCCTAACCAGCTGTATCATAAGAGCATCGTCATCATAGAGAAGGGAAAAGTAGTTAATGCTACTATAATGATATATGAATATATTTAGGTCGATGCTCCACACGAGTGTCACTAGTCCAGCTTGTTACTACCACATTGAACCTACATTGGGACTACGTCTCCAAATAAAGGTTAGGTTACCGCTGTCAATGACCTCACTTATGGGCTTAACCCCATCTCCCTCGATGAATCCAAAACCACACTCCTGGATAAATCCCTAGTCAAAGGGTCAACAAGATTCTTCTCAGACTTTACAAAATCTAAGATCACAACTTTGCCTAGCAGGTGTTGTATAGATTTATATCTTATTTGAATATGTCTGTTAAGTTTTTTATTTACATGCACTTGCTTTAGAAGCTCTATGTATCTTATTTGAATATGTCTGTTAAGTTTTTTATTTACATGCACTTGCTTTAGAAGCTCTATGGTGGATTTAGAATCAGAAAATATGTCTGTTAAGTTTTTTATTTACATGCACTTGCTTTAGAAGCTCTATGGTGGATTTAGAATCAGAATGAATAAAAATTAAAGGAGAGGGTTTAGGGACCAAAGGAAGTTCAGAGAGTATATCTTTTAAC